CCCCATTCTGCAACTTGCATTTCAAAAACTAGATATGGAGCCTGTGTCTAGACACAGACTACTCACCTACAGTGCACTGTTTTAATCCACTAGTATGGCTGAAAAGTCCTTCGCTATCTTTCAAATATAACTCATTCATTCACTTCAGGGATCAACAGATTCCACTGAACTTGGTTAAATAATTTTAATTGATTTATTCATGTGTACACAAAACAAACCTACTCAATTACTCTATGCAAACACAGTCAGCTTCCAGATCATTGCATTTTTACATATTTATTCACCAATCTGGATAATTCTTTGATGTACTGTAGCACTACAGGCTAGAGGGTTATATAAATCTTGGTTATCTTGGTGAACTCACAAACTGTTTAAAAGGAGAAAAAATTAAAAAGGCATAGAAATTTGAGAAGGGCTTAGAAGAACATTGTGAGAACAACGTAAGGATCTTCTGCCATGAGTGGCACTTACAGGTAAGTGAGATCCTTTTTTCTATCCCCAGGGTATTCATTGGTTCCCTATCTGCTCACATGGTGACCTTTTATTTATATTTTGATATCACCTCTTGCATTGAGGTTATCCTTCTACTTATTCACGAAACTAAGTCTGTCAGGCTTGCTTCCCTGCTTGCTTATACTAGGAGAAACCAAGGTAACTGCTGAAGTAAGTCAAGTCACTCTAGTGCACAACTGAAGGAGGAACAGAGTGCATAAACCTTTTATCACATAAAAGCCTTTATCATATATAAGACTTTGCCAGGTTCTTCTCCCTTGAAAAAACAAGGTGTAATGGCCTTCAAATACAGCAGCTAGGGACCATGAGCTTAGGGTGATGACTGGGCACTTGGCCAAGTGAATTTCTTAGAGTGCAGCCCTTGGGAACTTTATGCTGTCTGGCTGTCTTGAGGATTTATTCTGGTTTGTCATCTACAGTGCAAGTTTTGATACAGTGCTTAAATGGGAGTGGACGGTTTAGAAAGTTGTTATAGGATGGAGGCACCTACATGCTCTAAGACAGTTGCTCTGAAAGCTGCTACTAACTGCTCTTAGCTGAAGACAGGCCTGAGAATGGGATGTGACTCTGTCTAGCTGGATATTATGCATCTCTCTAGCTCTGGTGCTGTTACAGTAAATGAACTTAGTAGCTACTACTCCAAATGTTCATTTGTCTGAACCAATACGGTTGTTCTTTTCTAGGATACTGGTGTTTATCTGATAAATTGCAATACTCATGATGCCACAAGGACCATGAAAGCAACTTAAGAAAATACAGAGCTTGGATATGGAAAAAAACACCCCATCGTGGTTTGGATTCTGCTGTCACTAACCTGAAAAGTATGGTGTGATTAATTCAATTTTTGGTTGATTTTTCCAACCAAAACCAATATGGCAATGGGTACACAAGTAGGAACCTGTCTGGAACCCTAACTCCTGTTCCTGAGAACAATATTAGATTGTTCAGTCCAGATGAAATATGTGTTAGTTTGTTAATCCCAGACCAGTAGAGAGTATGAGCTACTTGGAAGGGTGGGCATATGGGATGCTATTGCTAAATTTTGGTTATGGATAAATTGTGATTTAAATACACTTTGCGTTCTCTTGGATTTAGGCAATTATCTCCTAGTAAGACATCTCAGTTTTATTTCCTTTAAATTCAACAGCTATTTAACTTCCGTGTGTGATAAAGCATAACTACTTTGTGCAGTTTTGCAAGGCTAATTTTCATTTGCAACAAAATAAAAACTGGGCTGAACTCGTTAATATTTTATTACTTATTACTCTGTGTTTACAAATGTATGAATGCATCTTTTAAAACTGTCTTGTGGCCCATCTTCGGACATCTTGTGGACCACAGGCTGAGTAATATTCATCTAAATATCATGTCAGGGTGACTTCAAAGAGTTTAACTCAGTTTTTCAGCAATATTGCCAGGCTTCTGGCTTCTGTTTCTATGGCAATGACAAAAAAGCAACAGAACAGAACTCTACTGGTGAACTCCTTTTCTTGCCTTCTAACTTACTTAGTAACAAATGCTTGCAGCTGTGGAAGTACAGAGATTAAGTGAACAACAGAACCTTTAACCAAATCTAATTTAACCTTTTCCTTGCTCATGGTAGAACAGAAACAGCACAGTCCAAACCTTCCAAATGAGTGCAAGGCAAATGACTATCAGGAACTTCAGGGAGTACAGACCTTCTGGAATGACAACATGGAGCTTTGCAGTGTTTGCAGCTATGCCCAAACTAGCTGGTTCTACGAAGTAGTTGGTTCAAACCTGACTGGGACACAGCTCTGGCAGAACAGTGCTACTGTCACGTGAGGGTTGCTGGTACCCAACTGGGTAGTCTTGCTTGCTCAGGTCTACCAGAGCTGTAGTCACACCACTGCACTACGGAGTATCTCAAATCGCTCTTGACTTCCCATGGGTATCTTGCCTTCCCCTTTGGTAGCAGTAGCTTCTCCCTAGCAGAAACCCAGAGAAACAAAGTGAAGGAGCAAAGCTCTGCTGCCCAGGCAAAGGCTGGTTGTACAAACTGCACTTCTGCTCTGAAAGTGTGGCAGAGCAGAGTAGCAAAGGCATTGCAGTTGTGAGATGCAACTCCTTCCCCTATCATAAATCTACTTTTGCCTTTATACCCCCGGTAATGGACAACATGTGTAACTACTGCACTTCCCTCAGCTGTAGAAGTCAGAGCAGCTCTATCTACCTACAGTGGGGCTATGCTCATTTATATTTTCTTTCTAGCTTATGATGCCTACTAGGTATATTCAGAAGCAGTCTGCTCTCCTAAAACAGTCTGTAGTATCTCTGTTTAGGGTTAAGGGGAGAACGTGCAGTTTTTCATTATTTTAAGTGTCACAATAAAAATGTTTTATTATAGAAAAAACCAGTGGAAATTAAGATTTGTGGACCCTCATTCAACAGATGCCAGTTGAATCACAGTACTTGCAATTTTTCATGTCTGGCAGTGTTTGTTTGAGTCCAGGAATAAAGGAGCAGCTGTAATATGGAATATAATGGCTTAGAGCTGGGTGAATTGGCAGAGTTCAAGTTCGTGCAGCTCTCCTGGCAACTTGGCAATTCTAGAAACACTTAATTCACCCAAATCAACTTTTCTTTAATGGAAAACTTAGCTAACAGTGCTGAAAGAAATAGGATTATCAGTCTGATCTTATTGCCACTAAAGCAGAGTACACAATAAAGGAAAGCAATATAATTTTACAAATGAGGTGGAACTGTGCAGGGCAAAAAAACCTGTTTGGTCTCCAGAGACTTCACATCAACTGAAGAAGGGGGTAGATAAGTTAGTAGCTCTGGAGAATGGAGTATGTGCAATAATATCAGCAGACATGTTGACTTTTCCTAAATTAAATAGCTTTGTACAATTAATCCACTCTGATTCACTGGCATAGCCCTCCAAGCAAACTTTTCATTTCCCCAAAGCACTAGTTCTCAAATATCCTGTTGCTTGCACTATTACATAAACCTATGGCAAAACTATTTTTTCTAAATACAGTGACTCTACTTTTTTATCAATTAAATTTGAAAAAGTGCATGTGGACTAGTGCTAATTAAGATTGTGTGGGTATCTTACTCTAATGTAATAGGTACTACAAGTTTCCACAACACCATGATCTGATCATAATTAATCATTACAAGGATACTGTTGAGCTGAAAGTTATTAGTTCCAGCCTAATTAAAGGTCACTGCTGGCTACAGTTTTGGGCTTCATCAGATAGACCACGTTATCTTATTTTTTCAGTGCAGACAGAAAATAATTAAAGATGACGCAGAAGCATGAAGCATCTGTATACTTTCCAAATGAGTAACACAAAGCAGTGTAAAAATATTACTTACACTAAAGATCTAAACTTATTTCAGGGAACTAACTTGTGTCAAAACAATTTATCTGAGAGGAAAAGAGTTCAGAAAACTCTTTTTGGAGATATAGTGAAGTTAAATAAGAATAGTGTCATCCTACCATGGTGCAGAGGGGATAACTATGAATAGAAAGAAAGAAAGAAAGAAAGAAAGAAGGAAAGAAAGAAAGAAAGACAGAAATAAAATAAATGAAGTCTCTCTCCTGGTAGTAATGCCAGACATTGTATGCTCTCAACATTATTGCAGCCTTGCAGCCACCCAGGCAGTACGTCTTGGCAGACCACGTAGGCATCTTCTGACTAGTATGAGGTTAGGAAACATAGTATGTTGGGAAGATCATAGAAAACTCAAGCTAATGTGGAGGACTATCCTGCCTCCATCTCCTGGTTTGCCAGACTAGCTTCCTGTGACCCATGGAAAGAAGACTCCACAACCTGTAGGGTTGTAAAGTAGGTATGTTTATTAAGAGTGCTGGCACACGGGGATCTTTCCTCCGAATTCTTGTGCGCCTTCTGCAGCAGCTTGTCTTAACTTTTATACAGTAAAGTGTTGCATATTCATTACTATGCAAAAACACCTATGCATATTCATAGCCTTTCCCCAAAAAGGTGGTCAGAAGTCTGGTTGTGCCTGCGCAGTGCCTCCTGGTGGTCGTGGGCCGGGGTCTCGGGGAGTCCTTTTCCCTACTGAGCTCTTCACCTTTGTTACTTGCGCATGCTCTCTGGACCTTTGGTGTTTCTCCAAACCACAAAGCCGGTTTCTACCAATTTGCTGCAATGTTTTTGCTGTTATCAGGAGCTGTAAGACACTTCAGGCAGGACATCCTTGGCCTTATCAGGAACTTGTCTGTAGCCTACCTCCCTTTACACAGTGACCTAAGATATATTGCTTCAGCTAAATAACTGCTATCCTGTTAACTCTTAGGCGTTATTCCCCCAAACTGTGTTAGCACCAAGCTATAATTTTCTTTATAAGTGTTACAGTTCTCTCTATCACCTGGAGCTGCCATCATCTCTCCTGCAACTCCTCAACCCTCCCCAAGGCCTGACATTATGTGGTGGGGTTAGAGGATTTTCAGAATAATTTTAGCAAATGACATCTATCATTAGAGGTGGCACCTTGTAGAGATCTGCAACGGCCTCTGTGCTCTCACAGTCATCCTCCTCCTCCAGTTCCCACAGTGCTTGCCGCTGCTTCTCTAACAGCTCATGGTAAGCCTGGAAGAAACACAATAGGTGTATTTAAATAGCTGAAAAGGTTTTGATAGGTTCTTGTGATCCTCTCCTTCCCTTCCCTGATCCTCTTCCCATGTACCATCACAACAGTAAGTGTTTATCTTGAACCGTGATTCAGAGGTAAATGAAACTTGCCTTACCACCTTAATTTGAGTCTTGAGTATGAAACTCCATAGCCTCAGCAATTTGGACTTAAATAATATGTACCTAATACTGGAAAATATGTGAAATCATCTAATTTCAGCCTGCTTTCATGTGTATGATCACTTCATGATAGTCAGTACTATGAGGTGCAGAACAGCCACCAGACACCTTAGTTACACATGCATCACACCGTCTAGGGCTTCTGCATTGGGGCTGGTCACCGTGTCCCATGGTTGTACCTAAAAGGCTGATCTATGAGTTGGTCCTGATTTCATCCTTGTGTCCTGGTTTACCAGGACAGAATTTTAAAGTCAGTTTTCTGTTAAGGCAAACTGTATTTTTGTAAGAACTACAACACTCTAATTCATGGGAACAAAGTGTTAAAACTTTGTTATAGGTTTCAGCTAACATTGGTATGTGACGCTCAAGATCTTCAGGGGTCTTGAGATAAAAGGGTGCAGAGGCTGGGGATGCAGAAACCCAGGGGAGCTGACCCCACGCTGACCAATTAATACTATTACATACTATAAACACCAGATTCACTATGAATTGTGGAGTTTGTTGGGGATGGTCCTTCCTTCTCCTTCCCTCTTCTATTGCTGACACCTCGAGGGACTTTTGTACCATCCTGAGGCCTATTCCCTCACAAGACTGGCTGAGTATAACTCTGTGTATTTTATATTATAGCCATTATTAAATATTAGTTTTTATTATTATTATTTTATTACATCTATTTCTATTTCAACCCATGAATCTCCTTTCCTTTTCCCAACCCCCCTCCCCGGGTTGCAGGGGGAGACTGGGTCATAGAGCAACTGTATGAACCATAACATCTTGGTCACAGATTTATGAGGGATGTAATTTTTTCTTCAAGTCAGGACTGTGGTGTGTCGACAGACTCCCGTGCTATAATGGAAGGCTGAATTTCACAGACAAAGAACATCTCATTCTATGGATTAATGAGTGGTCTTACACATAGATATTCCTCATTTTGTTTAAACTCCCAAGTGCCCTCTTACATTCCTATGGTAATTTTGGCTTTCTTCATTAGGTATGTCAATAGGGCCCTTCTAAAGAGCACAAAAGTGCTCATAAACTCTTCATGTACATGTTGTTCTTGTGGATGTGGACTTTAAAGTTCACACTTATAATGAAATCTTAGTTTAGCACAGAATTTGACAAGTTAATCGCTGTAAACTGTATGTCCACTGGGGTTGGCCTGAGAAAGACTGGGTTACTGTAACTGGCACTTGTTGGCTTGTGTGCTTCACTTAATCAGTCCTGCATTCCTTGCCAGTAAAAAACAAGATGGAAATGCTCCTCTTCCATGGAAACATAGGTGAAGAAGATGGAATGATACAGGGACTCTAACCTTTACCATCTAGGTCATTCTGTCATATAAAAAAAAAATCAGAGCTGCAGTAACTAAATTATTACCATCCAACTTGTGTTCAAAAGAAACTGATGTGAAGAAAGTTCATTGAAAAATCCATCTTTTTAATTGGCGACCACTTAAATTCAGCAGAAAGGTCAGTTACTGCTGAGGCTGGTATGATGGTGGTGCGAGCCCTTTGATGAGGTGCAGGGCGGAAGGCAGAGAAGAAAACTGCATCTGATGGGTACAACTCTGGGCTTCTGGTGTGGATTCAGGACAAAGCCCTTCACTGCTGGGCTAGCTATGAAACCATGAAACCGGTTTAAAATACCTCCTCAATGCTGAATGGACTGTTTGCACAAAATAATTACTGGACTATTTAAGTCAAATAATTGGAGCTGCATCTATGTATTTTGATATATATATATATACATATGTATGCATGTGTATATATATATATATATGGATGGATGGATGCATGTATGTATTTTTTCTTATTCTTTCAAGAGTTTCTGGAGTCAAGACTCCATTCATTCTGGGACAAAAGGCTCTCTCCACTGTGGTAGCAGTAAGGCTTAAATTTCTAACTTGTTTTATTATTTGCACACAGGCATTTCATAATATTAAGACTCAGTTTTGTTCTGTCCTGCCCCATGAAGCACAAGTTGCCCATTGCTGCTCAGCCCATCATAAGCAGATTTGCTAGTCTGCAGTTTAACTAAGCGTATTTATTAGCTTTCTAAGGTATACAGAATAGTGCATCTCTCGCACAAAGCTGTGTGGCTCTAATTCTGTAGAGAAGAGGTCTTAATACAAAATTTTTAAGCTTTGTTTAATGAAGCTGGGATGTGTCCAAGAATTTTGAATGATGTGTATAAGGAAAATACATTCACAAATGCTCAGTGGCTACAAAAATGTGTGAAGTTATGAAAAGCCAAAGAAGTAAAAAGTGCTTTACTGTTTTAAAGTGCCTGAAACCTTTTGTTTTGAAGTGAGGTGTTGCCAGACAGGTGTTGCATACAAGGACAGTAACTGCATTATCCAATTCATACAATATAATTAAAGAACTTGGCCCTGTAGTACAAAATTGCAGTGTTGAGATCAATAAATTCTGTCAGTCTGCTACAGCTGGAATCTGGGTCTTCTCATACAGCAATTTATCTAAGTTATTAGATCTCATCAAAAGTTTAATGCTGCTGGATGTAACCACTTTAACCTTAAATTATTTCTTTTAATGAAAATAGAGGATTGATTTTTTTATTTCTTAATAACTTGGGTCTGTAGTTCTCAGCAGTTGTAGTTTTGCAGCTCTCAGCATTTACAGCTAAGAAGTCTGATTTCATATATGCATTCTGAACAATAACAATACAGCTTTATAGAAAATACGACCAAAAAAACATTACACTGGCCATCGTATACCATATTTAACTACCTATTGAAAATCTCCTCTAAGGTATTCTGCCAGTGATCATAATGAGTTTTCCCTCTGCTTATGTGAAATTTGATAGTCTTTGGAGCCTCGGTAGATCTCACCCACAGAAAAGCAATTAGATCAGTGCAGTCTGCTTTCTTCTGTAATGCAGGCCAGATACTTTTCTCTGGAGATCTCTTATACTGAACCAGACACACAGTATCTAAGTAAAAGATATTTTCTACAAAACATGCAATCTAGCATTAACACCCTTTGGCATTTTGTTCCAATGTGACAAGACCAACACTAAAGGAAAAGTCTCTAGGCAATAGGGGGTCTGACCCTATCCTACCTGTGCTCCTGTACATGATTCTCAGGATGATCCAAAAAACTCAATGTTATGGAACTGGGAGAAATCTGCGATATATTTGGTCTTAAGAACTAATGCAACAGTGAAAATAAGTTCTTATGTGCTCACCTTAACAAAATCATTACCATCTTCAATGTGAAACATTTTACTGAGAAGAGTCCCTTGTTCAGCTTTCTGTCTGTGTTTGAACTCTTCTCTTTTCTTTGCACGGCACTCCAGTCGTTTCAAAATCAGGTCTCTACTTCGCTGGATACATTCTGGAACATAAACCACCAATGATTAGATACTGCAGCTCCACAGGGAGAAACTAGCATCTGCTACTATCACACAACATAAGCTCAGAGAAATCTGTTAGTGAGTGAAACAGGCAAGTAATTACCATGCATGATTTCAAATTTGATTCTTATCCTGACGGTCTTTTTAGATGGGAACTTTTGGGTTGCTACATGGCACTTAAATCTATCAGGTTTTTTTTGATCACTACTATCCCGCACCCTCCTTTTCACTGCTGCTGCTGCTTATGCAAAGGTAGCGTGAGTTCAAGAAACAGATTCCCACCCGCAGCACCCCAAACCTCCCCCTCCTGCTCTGAGAAGGTCCAGAAGTGGCTCATACCTAATTGCAGATATGCAAACACTGCTGCAAGGACAGGGGAAGTAACATATGGTGGGGAGAAAAGGTCTAGAGCAGTGCTAGTTCAGAGTAGCTTGAACTGGCATGCAGCCATACCAGGCTTCCAAAGTGACTCATCCAGGAGCGTGGAGCAAAAGCTGTCAAGGTCCCTCTTTATGCTAGTACTGTGAAATATTTGGGATCAAGTTCTTCCCCCATTCACCCTCCCTATAGTTCCAAGTGATTTATAAATTTATGAGTCTGTCTAGACCCTGTGCTGCAAAGCGGAATTGGTGCTTATGACATTCTGCCATTACTTCATGTCTCGTCTGTCCACCTAAGAACTTTATTCATTTCCCCCACCCACCCTGACCCAGAGCATTACTTCACTGCTGAGACAGGCAGCTAAAGGGGAATGCAAAAGAAGAGTCATCTGTGGCTGCTGTTCTGCCACCACATCAAGCTGCTTCAACTATGAGAGCACAGTTAACTATGAGAACAACATCCTGGGCTGCATCAATAGAAGTGTGGCCAGCAGGGTGAGGGAGGTGATTCTGCCCCTCTGCTCCGCTCTGGTGACACCCCACCTGCAGTACTGTGTCCAGTTCTGGGGGCCCTAACACTAAAAAGGACATGGAGCTGTTGGAGCGGGTCCAGAGGAGGGCCACAAAGCTGATCAGGGGCTGGAGCACCTCCCCTACGAGCACCGGCTGAGAGAGTTGGGGCTGTTCAGCCTGGAGAAGGCTCCAGGAGGACCCCTTATTGCAGCCTTCCAGTTCCTGAAGGGGTTCTACACGAAAGCTGGGGAGGTTCTTTTTACAAGGGCAGGTAGCGACAGAACGAGGAGGAATGGTTTTAAACTGGAAGAGGGTAGATTTAGACTAGATATTAGGAAGAAATTCTTTACTGTGAGGGTGGTGAGGCACTGGCACAGGTTGCCCAGGGAGGTTGTGGATGCCCCCTCCCTGGAAGTGTTCAAGGCCAGGTTGAACAGGGCTTTGGGCAACCTGGTCTGGTGGGAGGTGTCCCTGCCCATGGCAGGGGTTGGACTGGATGAGCTTTAAGGTCCCTTCCAACCCGAACCATTCTGTGACTCTATGATTCCATGAAACTATTTTGTGGAGAAATGCAGGAGTACAGTACTGTAGCACCAAGCATGTTACTTTTTCTCAAAGTTAATTTATTGTGCTTATCCACAGGCTGATGATGCACTGACAAAACATTTGAAAGTGCAGTGAAAGTACAGGAAAGCATGTAATAAAAATGCCATTTGAACAAATGTAGAAACTGTTTCTTTTTCAACTCTACTTGATTCTTTACTTCTTCCTTGTTTGTTTCTTAGGAGCACAGTCTTGCTGGCTTTGTGTTCTGCTTGTGAATTATAGGTACAGTTTAACTTATGTACTTAGGAGCTCACAAAAAAGAGTCAACGTAGACTCTCATGTGAAAATGCTCCTCTCCAGATTCTTTTTTTCTTTCTTAAGCATATTTCATTTCTGCCTAAAACCAAGAGGTTGTTGAAAGATAATTCCCTTCTACACAGGCTTTATTAACTATAATATATAACTATATAAAACTATAAACAGCTACTTTGCATAAAATCAAGGCCTTGACAGAGGTATTTTTGCTTTGGAAAAAGAAGAACTTGACAAAAAGGGGGAAAAACACCCACAGATGTACGTTTATGCTTATGGCATGTTAGTGGCTGAACCTATGCAGACACTATGAACTAGGCATGCCAGTTTTAGGAGCAAACATCCATGAAATAATCTATCATCACTATATACACGAATTTGTGAGTATCAGCAAACTGTTCACATAGTTAAATGATGTTTTTAAAGCGGAGCAAGGCTGCAGCATGGGAATTCTGATCACCTTCTATGATGAAATGACTGGCTTGGTAGATGAGGGGAGAGCAGTGGCTATTGTCTACCTTGACTTTAGCAAGGCTTTTGACACAGATATTCACAGAGAGGGGGTTGAAGTATAGGCTGGATGAACAGACAGTGAGAGGGATTGAAAACTTGCACAAGGTCTACCTAGAAACCAGTAATGAGTGGTGTAACCCAGGGGTCAATACTGGGTCCAGTCCTGCTCAGTATCTTCATTAATGCCTTGGATGATGGGGGCAGAGCGCACCTTCAGCAAGTTTGCAGAGGTCACAAAAAATGAGAGAAGTGGCTCATACACCAGAGGGTCATGCTGCCATCCATAGGGCCCTTGACAGGCTGGAGAAATTGGCTGACACAAATCTCATGAAGTTCAATTATGGGAAGTGCAAAGCCCCACATCGGAGAAAGAACAACCCCAGACAATGAGACATGCTGGGGGCCACCCAGCTGGAAAGTAACTAGGCAGGATAGGATGCGGGGGTTCTGGTGGACACCAGAACATGAGTGAACATGAGCCAGCAACGTGCTCTTGTTGCAAAGACGGCCAGTGACATTCTGGGTGGCATTAGACAAAGCACTGCCAACAGATGGAAGGAGGCGATCCTTCCCCTCTACCCAGCACTGGTGAGGCCACATCTGGAGTGCTGTGTCCAGTTCTGGGATCCCCAACACAAGAGAGACATGGACAGACTGGAGAGAGTCCAATGAAAGGCCATGAAAACAGAGTTAGAATAATGAACTGGAGCATCTCTCCTATGAGCAAAGGCTGTTCAGCCTGGAGAAGAGAAGGCTCACGGGCTCTTAACAATGTAGATATGTACCTGGAGAGAGGGTGCAGAGACGACAGAGCCAGACTCTTTGCTGTGGTGCCCAGTGACAGGATCAGAGGCAATGGGCACAAACTGAAACAAGGGAGCTTCCCTCTGAACACCAGGGAACAATTATTTACTGTAAGGGTGACTGAGCACTGGCAAAGGTTGCTGAGGGAGGCTGTAGAGTCTCCATCATTGGAGATACTCAAAAGTCACCTGGTCATGGTCCTGGGCAACTGGCTGTAGCTGACCCTGCTTGAGCAGGGGGGCTGGACCAGATGACCTCCTGAGGTCTCTTCCAACCTCAACCATTCTGTGATTCAGTGAATTGCTGAATGTGAGATATGGCACAATTTAGTAACATGAAGCTTGAATGTCAATGAGTGACACTGCAGCAAGAATATACTGCAACAAGACTACATTCATTCTGACTATTCAGTTCACTGAAATCTAAACCTAATGCCATTTTGCCAAGACAATTTTCTTTCAATATGCCCACAAGTAGCAGAAATGGTTCTAGAAAATGTGTGAGATTAAAATACTTCTGTTTTTCTTTTGGCTGAACTCGTACTATAATTTTCCATGAGTGCTGATGGGAAGCACTGATACAGCACCTATCAGAGAAGCTGGGGGTATGCTTCTCAACATGTCAGGCATTAGGTAACATGCAAAGTGATACAGGCAAAACCTTAATACGGTGGGTCAGTCAGCTCAGGCTTCGTTATAATTGTGTAATTTAGAGACAGTCAATGCGAAGGGCTGTAAAAGCAAGGAAAAGACTTTGTTTTTAAAATATTTTAGTCTGACAAAATAGAGGTTTATCTAAGGATCATAAGCTTTAAAATTATATTTTCACAAGAGTGATAGCACAACTATGTCTTGTGTATCTTCTGGCTCCACATGCTAGCAGGAGATCATAAGACAGTATTCTGCACGTACACAGCTGTAACTGTCCCTAATGTTAGCCAGCATCACCAACAATACCAAGTACGTGAACAGTAAATAGAGAAATCTCAGAAACACTTGTAAAAAATGTGAGTCTTCTTCAATCTTGAAATTAATGAAATAAGGTATAGATTACGTGAACTGTAGAGTAAGTTCACAGCAATGTCTGAAAGAAGACCTAAAAGGCTTAAAGCCAAAGTTCCCATTCTAAGCACCCACCCTTCACAATAGTGTTCTTGGTCAATTCATCACTATCTTTTTAAAACAGAGGGCTAAAAGGCTGAAGCTATTTTTTTTTTACTATTTAATACAATAATGAGAACTCATATCCATATTTGTTAAGTCATGAAATGCAGTCTGAATACTCACCATTACTGAAATGTGCCAGTTGTTCCCAGAAGGCCTTGTGCAGATCTGTCAGAAGTTCTTCCTTTTGTCGGACTGAGAGATTATTCTTTACAGTTAAATGGTCCAGAATATTTGATACAATATTTAATCTACACTTGCACTCTTCTGGTATATAGGACTTCAGTGAATCTATCATCTTCACCATAATCTCCCAGTTGAATAACCTTTCCTGAATGTCCTTAAATAAATATAAAAAAGTCCTGTTTAGAAACCAAGAATGGCTCCTTGCTTGTGCTTGTCCTTCCACTAAATTGCCAAACTACGCAGAAAACCAAGGATGCTTCTCAAGACCATGTGAACAACAATCATCATGTACTTAAATACTTCTCAAAATCTTGACCAGTGCAGGATAGCAGCAGGTGAACTGAATGTTCAGTTGCAAGAGCTAATCTAAAACTATTGGTGTTTTTCATTATTTGTAACATTAAGAAAGGAAAAGACAACAAGAAGCTTGCAAAACAAACTTAAATACCCAAGGAGGAAAGATGGACAAAAGGACAACATGGAAGTCCTGAACCTCTTTTCAAGATATACTATGTAGCAGACCAGCATAGGTCCTCATTTTGAACTGAGGACATGTATCTGATTTTGATACTGCTGAGATTTCTTCAAGTATGTGGTCAGCTGGAGCTCAACAAATATACTAAAAATTAGCTTAATTGCCTATGGCCTAGCAGCTTTCGTTGCACTACAAGAGAAGCAGCTCAGGATTACAGTAGAAAGCAAGATTTTCTGGGTGAAACTGCAACTTCTTTAGACAACACTGCAAGGTTGGAAAGAGTTTGAGAACTACTGCAGTCAATGGAGACATGCATATAATGACCTTTACAATGAGATGCAAGCCATCACAGTAGTGACTTCAGGTCAGAATATTTCCTGGGTCTGTATCTAAACACCTCATTTGAAGTCTGGCCACATGTACAGTGGCCCAGTATGGGTCAGGAGTGATCAGCTGCAAAGACTATTTTCATACCTGGCCAGCTCAGTTTACTTAGCTTCTCCAATCCAAAACAACCAACCTAATAATTAGTGTATCTGTGTATTAGTAAGCCAAATAAAGCTAGATATCCATCTATTCTCCAAATTATTAATAAATGCAGTAGGCCAGATTCTGACTGTTAATCTGTAAATTCCAAGTAACTCTTTCAGTATGCCCTCTACTCTACCCTGGTGAGACCGCATCTGGAATATTGTGTCCAGTTCTGGGCCCCTCAGTTCAAGAAGGACAGGGAACTGCTGGAGAGAGTCCAGCGTAGGGCTACAAAGATAATTAAGGGAGTGGAGCATCTCCCTTATGAGGAGCGGCTGAGGGAGCTGGGTCTCTTTAGTTTGCAGAAGAGGAGACTGAGGGGAGACCTCATTCATGTTTATAAATATTTAAAGGGTGAGTGTCACGAGGATGGAGCCAGGCTCTTCTCGGTGACAAACAATGATAGGACAAGGGGTAATGGGTACAAGCTGGAACACAGGAGGTTCCACTTAAATTTGAGAAGAAACTTCTCAGTGAGGGTGACAGAGCACTGGACCAGGCTGCCCAGAGAGGTTGTGGAGTCTCCTTCTCTGGAGACATTCAAAACCCGCCTGGACGCCTTCCTGTGTAACCTCATCTAGGTGTTCCTGCTCCGGCAGGGGGATTGGACTAGATGATCTTTAGAGGTCCCTTCCAATCCCTAACGTTCTGTTCTGTTCTGTTCTATGCAAAGCAAATAAAATATCTCTTAGATTTAACACAACATAAAGCACAGTGCCGATGCATTTATAAACACATTTTACCCCTCTTAAGACCATATTACCAAGAGGTGTTATGGGTTTTTGATTACAGTTAAAGTCATTTCACACACAGAATCACCCTCAAATTTAAATTACGGTTTCTCAGTCAAAGTAGAATAAATACTTTAAAAGAAAAAGAAATGTCCTAATGCCCAGGGTAATGATTCTCCTTCATTATTACATCTAGTGCTCTTGCTCCTGGCTCAGTAGCTGCGTTAATAGCACTTTTTCATAACTCGACTGCCTAAAAACAGTATTTTGACAATTTGAACTCAAGTGCAGAGAGTTCAGCTGCCTATGAGTCTTCATAAACTGCAATGGAAGTTGAGCTCTTTGCAACAAAGTCGAAGGAGATAACTGCAGTAAGCTGTCTACATCACTCCTGATGCAGGACTGACAGGCTCTGTACACTTCCATCATTCTTTGTGTTCAGATTGATTAAATCTCTCTCAACTTTTCTTTCTTTTTGTACTTTACCATTGCCTGCAAATCTTGAGATTCACTTAATAAGCTTTCTACTGCAATCATCTTCGCGGTCAGATCCATTGTTATCTTTGTTGCTTTGGCACTTGAGCATTTTGATTGGTCCAAAAAATCCTGCTGGGCTTTGTCAGTCTGCTTCCAGAAAGCTTCCATCTGTGGAATATGAATCAAAAAGCAACCCATGTTTCCTCATTAATCATCTGGTATTTCATTACAGCGAGAGTTATATGAATCTACTGAGATACAAGTCACTGGGACTACAGACAGCTTTCAGTAGTAGTTATAGCAAACATTTTGCAAAACTAAAGAGCCTATTTACTATAAGATGATACATGTGTTGGTGGCACACAACCAGTATGAAAAGCCTGACCTTTTTAAATGTAGTTATTCTGTATGGCTTGCTAAGAATTTGCTGTTAGTTCTCCATATATTGCATCTATGAAAACCTGTTATGTTGTTAGTATTAATGGGAAGACTAAAAAAAGATAACAAACTGCCGCCCTTTTTTCTGGGAAGTTTATTTAGCTGTTGGAGCAGGCATTCCAGCCAAAGAAGATTTTTGCTAAAAAAGGAAAACTGAAAATTGTGACTGTTTTTCACCATAAAAGCCTTTCATAGCCACATGCTACATAAGCACTTCATTAACCGTGCTGGAATGAAGTACTTTATACAGTATCAGCCCACTGTATGTGCCCATTCTGATACATTAACATATGGGTAATCTCTAGTTTTAGGCTCTGATCTCACAAACACTTATGACTGTGCGAAAACTGTGTGAGTATTCTGTGGTCTTCAATGGGATTACTAGTACACATAAAGATAAGAAGATGTATCCATCGCCAAGATTTGTACTAGGTGTCTGTGGGATTACCAAAAAACTGTGATTATGGCATCTGTAAGTATGGCAAAAAAAACTCCTTCAAATTACTGAGGGAAGAATGGATTAGTTCAAGGTCTTGATCTATAAAAATCCACATACAGGGAGAGAATTATCAATATGGATGAGAAGCATCTGCTGGCATAAGAGAAACAGACCCACTGAAGGATGACTGCCGCTGGTGAGTAACTGCCTCATGCCAGCGAGTTTTTATGTGACTAACTCTTGAGAACTCTAAGCAATCAATTTTTCAAAGAGCAAAGTTAAACTGCAAAATAAACTTGACACAGAGGTACCATCATTACCAGCACTTTGACTATAAACTGAAAGGCACACAGAATCACAAGAAAGCTGAGAAAATTCCTAGCGAAGCACTTAACCATCAGATATTAAAAAATGTTAACTTCCCTATGAAACAGGCCCAAGACAGAGATGATGGGCTGCTTGGTTCAGGGCTGAAGTGCCACAGTCCATCAGCACAGGCAGCTTACAGAGCTATCAGTCTGACTAGTCAGTCTCTCATTTTCATCAGCAGTGAATTTGCTGAAACCAATAAAACAGGACTGGGAATTCTGTAGTATCCTGGAGTATCTTCCAGACTACTCAGTTTACTGGAAAATAGTATGCAGATTCTGTAGAGAAAAAAGATACCAAACTTCACTTTGAGACTCAAATGCTGACTATCAAACTGTATTTTTTCCATTAAAAAATCACGTACATGTATTATGATGTGCAGACCTGTTAAGGCAAAATGTTTTGTTAACGTAAATGCTAAAAGGTAATTATTTTCTTAGTAATTATCTCAACTTAAAAATGCTTTATAGTCTCCTATTACTATCTTATTCAGTTGAGAAGGACTGAAAAAACCGAGGTGGATAATATTCCTAAAAGACAGACTATACCTAGGCTTGAAATAAATCTTACCATCTGACAAGCAATAGGCATCTCTCTCTAAACCCAGTGTGATAAAACAATGTTTGTATAAAAAACACACTGGCTCCCAAAGGGAGTTGGAAATACTTTGCTGGAGCAAGGTCAAAATGTTTTCAGGACTCATACACATCTAAAGTACTAACTGTGGACTAGTCAATGAAACAGTTAAAAAAAATAAAAATGCATTCCCCATCAAAAGAACAACATTAAAATAAAAGTATAGGAGAGAAAAATTAGAAAGTTACATTATCTATTATGTGCTCAGAATACTCCCTTTCTTTCCTTTCTAAGTCTTCTAGAGTCTGGTACTCTGAATTACGGGCTCCTGACATCTCAGTATTCTGGAGTCTAGAGTCAAGTTGTTTCTGCAATTCTTCAAAACCCTGAGGAAAAAAAAAGTGTGCAAGTGATTTGTTAAACAGAAAAACAGACAATTTTTAAATTTAGGAGTGAATTTGTATGTCGGATGTGGCTTATGGCTAAGGAAGCTGAACAACAGCATTTAGAAAGCTCTGTCTCTGGGTAATGCAACTTCTGCAGCAAGCAAAGAAAACTGAAGGTGTATATATACATGGCAGTTCTGAACTACACTCAATACAAATACATAAATTTCCAACTACAATGTGAGTTTTACTAAACACAGCTTCATCAGCTTTCATACTAATAATGCATGAAGACACCGATGCCACTAAGTCTCATTGAGGGTTAGGCTGTACTGGGAAACATGCCTAATCTATATTACTTCTGTGTTTATAATTTCAAGTCATTACCAGAAAACTGGTAAGGAAATTTGCACACCAGATCTCAATTTGCATTTAGTAAATAAAATCAATGTTAACACTAAGTCTGAGGATTTAAGGCAGAGGAGTGGTTTTAAGGCAAAATCAATCCTGAAATAAATTATTGGGTACAACTACAGAGGTTACCGATATTGAATCAGAGACTACAAGAACAAAATAAATCTCAACAACTAGAGCTGGCAAGCCAATAGACTTTAATGCCTAAATGTGCATTTCCATCTACAGGTAAGAAAAAAAAATATTTATTACTGTGAGAAGAATTAAATATTGGACTATGCTGCCCAGAGAAATGGGGGAGTCTCCTTCAGCGCAAATATTCAAGACTTGGCTTGGCAGGGTACTGGATAGTTCTACATTATTTCCTGCTTGCTACAGCAGGTTGGATCAGATGATCTCCAGAGGTGGCTCTCAATCCAGACTTTTCTATGACTTTAATCTAGATCTCCTATTTTGTAGTTGTGTAAAGTTTTCTTTCCTTCTAATATCTTAAATATAGTATTGTGACTCCACTGAAATGCATTTGGACTGTCAATGTATGTCATCCAGTTCAGAAGTGGAAAATGGATTTTGATATAAGTATATGGAAGAAAAAAGGATAAAAAGGAAAATAAGTATATTTCCCCTGGATAAAAATAGCCTTGTGTTTCCTTCTGGTACTTTATTTCCTGCTATTTTATTATCAGTAATGAATCATGGGACCAGAAAATGACCTGATAATAGAAAATTTTTAAATCGAAGTAAAGTTCACAATGTTCTATTTGCTTGAATGGATTCAACTACAAAATACTTTTGTTCTTAACATATTAGACACATCACTGTCCTAATCACCTCATATAACAACAAAGGGTAAACACGGACAAGGTAATGGAGTTAAAAGGGAGTAAAGGGAGTTTCTTTGCATTTCTTCTGAAACAGATTACAGATCATACTGCTGTTTAAAAAAAGTGCAAGCTGTGGCAGCTTGCACCAACTGCAAACCAACAAAACCACTTACATTTTTTTGAATTAAAAGGATCTTCTTGAACAAATCATCAGTAATCTTGTTACGACAAAAGTCTGTGAGATACATTTTGAGAACCTGAATAAACATCTATTCAAAAGGAAGGAAACACAACGCAGTGTAAGTGCCTGTTCAACATCATAAGGACATCTTTGTGATAACTTTTATTCATTCAAATAAATCAGTGAGAATATAATGAATTATAAGCAAAATAACAGAAACGTCATCAGAATTCTGTAGTACTTCCATTATGAAAATTTTTTTGGCTTTGGCTTCATTAAGATACTGGAAGATGGCGTTGCGTTCTAACAAGGACAGGGACATAATCTCATATAGCCTGACACTCTGAAACTCTCCTCCACTGGCCAATATACAGATCACTTGAAAATATAAAGCCCTTTTTTTTTAAGTTTAATGAACTCCTAAGCCAAAAGATACAAACATATTCATTACTAAGATTGCAACTGTAGTCAGCCAAATGAAGTATCATTTTTCTATACCACACAAAAGTAACCATCTCAAGTTCTAGCTATACTCTGTTACAAACATATACCTGTTTTTCAGTTGTTGGTTGTATTTTTTTTAAAGATTGTAATACTAGTGTGTTCAAAAAGATGTTTTTGAACACTGGGATAATTTCTGCTTAATGTCTTCTCCTTTTGCCTTGATTAAAGTGTCAGTGTAAAGACAATTCAATTTATTATTAACGGCTGTAGCATTTTCCAATGTGAAGATAAAAATATGCAGAATTTAACAGCCACCTGTTACTCATGTACTTGAAAACAGATGACGCAGAAGTTGCCCATTTTAAACATATGAAAACATAAATAAAATCACATTTACTTATAAAAACAGTTATTGAAGCCAGCAATCCAGCTGAGCAAAATCTGGAAAATATGTTATAATTAGAGCTCAGTAGAAGAGAAAACCGTAAAGCTCCCATGTTTTGGCTCTCACTTGCCACTGTTTTGGACAGGAGTCTGGTAAACTTTGAACACAAACCAACAAGATATAATATCCCGTAAAAACGGGGAGGGGGGGCAGAAATCAGAAAAACACTGAAAGGACATGTTTCCTTTTCCTAGACCAAATGCTAAGTAAGACTGAAATCAGATAAAGCAGAGTGGAAAACGAAGAAATTATACTCTAGACTTCATTTTTTTGCCCTTTTCCCCTGCTAGCAAAAATATAAAGCTATTCAAATCTCCAGCTAAAGGCCAAATTCAGCCGCCCTTTGTGGCACTTTCTAGTGGGCCACAAAGTGTGTTAAGTGTGCATTTTCTCAGTTTTTCTGTGATTACGTCACCATGTTGTTACCTTACCTTCATTTACAAATTGATGATTAACTTTAAGATTAAGTTCAACCTTTCCTAGCCAAGCTAAACTTCTTTCTGGAATCCGATCTCAAGTTCCCTATCTCATCTACTTAAATGTGAATAAAACCCATCTGAAGAGAAGCTGCTTTCCAGGTTTACTTTCACGCTTCCTCTTTTTGGTTGTGTAGAAATTTGTTTAGAAAATCCCACCCCTTGAAATATTCTCAGTGCATTTAATAAATTATATCAGAAATTACCAATCTGTTTAAACAGAGGCCAGGAAAGAAGGAGAGGAGAAAGCTATGTACTTTATATCCAGATTTATATTAACTGAACTAAATATCAGTAATGTAATGACTCTGTACTTCATCATAACTAGTCACCATAAACAATGATCTTAACCAAATATTCTGTGGCATTAACCATATACATTTATTTTTGTTTTGTTTTGTTTTGTTTTTTCCTGTCAGCTTTGGATGCAGTGACTTGATCTAGGCAGTTATCTATGGTTTAAACAGGTATCTTAGTTCCTCTGTCTTACAGAATGATGACTATTGTACTTATCATAATAGCACTGATTCAGCTGATCTAAATTTTCGATTTTATTCAAAGAGCTTGGAGTCCTTGGAGTTGCAATGCACAAGCATTGTCATTAAGACATAAACTCACCTATTAAATGTTTTTTTTCCCTATTTTAATGAACCTCAAGTGCTGTATGTCATTCTCTAAAGTTTAAAGCCAAATTACCATTTTATCCAGTCTGCCTCTCTGTATTTCACAGCCCAATATATTTAATTGTATTTTATTTCTTTATGAAGCTTTATATGCAGAACAGGAAAAAAAAATAAAGACAATACCGTAGAAATGCAACTCTGCTACACTACTTCCCAGCTAGCCAGTTGTTTATGTTACTTCCTAAACTGATGCTGAACTAAGATGTTCAAAACAAATAGCGATAAATGAGACATGAGTACCTACCACATATTGTTCTTTTCTGAGTTCAGTATCAAGAAGCATGAGATCTTTTAAAACAAGACTGCAAAGGCAGAGCTTAACATCAAAACTAAAACAAAGATTTAAAAAGTGTTAATACCAATCTAAATGAAGGCTACACAAAAGAGCAACACCATATAATAGTTTCATTTAAGCACCAAATTCTCCTAAGAGCATTGACCCTAGAACAGCAGTTGAATCACTCTATTTCTACACTGCCTTCTCTTTCAGATAAAATATATCTACAAAAAAGTAAGCAAAACAAAATAGTGCTTTTAACAAAGTTGGAGTTGCAGTTCCCTTTAGAAAAAGGCAAGGTAATTACAGTCATGAGTGGCTACAACAAAGGGAAAATAAAGCTTTAAATTAAAACAGCTATAATAAGAGTGGACATTTAGAAAGTATTCTTCATTGCTAATATCTCCTCCGTCTCCACGGTGACACAAATATGATTGTCTTTGTTCTTGCTAATGAGAATAGAGAAATGTATGCATTCATCTAGGGGTACCTTGCCATGCTGCAGCTAGGAGAAAATCAGAGCTGTTAGTCCATTTTGATTAGCTCTGCCTGCTCAGCAGTGGCGTGTCTGAGAAAGGAACCATTTTCCCACAGTATGACATGAGTAGGTCCCATGAAAATGGAGAGAACAGAACACTGCCATTTGCCATTCTCAAGCCACCTGTTGTGTAACTTGATGTTGTACAGTGCAGAGGACTCCATCCCCAGTTGAGCACTTGGTGTATGCATTCACGTCCAGCCTTTGGATTACACCAACCCTTTAGTGATGGTCCTGAAAACCACTAGGGCATGTTAGGAAATGACCAAACCCGAGGGCAGGTTTACTGCTTACCTCTCACATGTCAGCACTTCAGGGAAGCTGGTCACCTTGAGGAAGGCTCGAGCCTGAAATCTGTCATCGCTTGTTGTGGAATGTATTGTAGTGGAGGAACTGCAGTCCTCTTTGTCTCCCTGGCTCAGGGATCCCAGGCTGCCTGACGTAGATGTCTCCATGACCTGATTAGGCAGAACTGCCTGCTTTGGATTCTCATGCAAGGATGGATTGGATGAGCCATCTGCCAAAGGCTATAGTCAAAGAAAATTTACAAGGTCAATGAATACAAGACAATAAGGAGATAAAACATCTTACCAATTTGCAGTGTTTGCTTTCAAGTGAAAAAATTAAACAATATACACAGCAAAAGTGTATCGACATAAATGATGATTTATTATACTGACAGGTTTCTGTACTGCCCAGAAAGGCAGTTTTCTGTTGCAGTTATCTGCCTGGTGTATGTTTTCTTACCAAAGGGCAGAACCTTGTAGGGTTTTTCTTATGTCTCTTTGGGCAGACCCAACTTCCATTAATGTTAATGGGAAGAAAAAGTTTCTTGACTACAATGAGAATTGTTTGGACACCATGTAAAGCACTGCAGGTTTCAGGGGTAGCTGAAAGTAGCTGATGCCTTACAGAATAAGCCCTGAGTCAATGGACTGTAAAGAAAGAAAGATCCCTATTAAGCAGCTAGGCACCAGGTTTCCCTTCATTACTTGACTCTGCAGTGATTGTTATTAATTTTTACAAGTAGAATCTAAAACCTTACCCTAAATTTCTGATTGATGGGATAGATCACTTTTGCCTTTAATGCAAATGCTGTGACATTACTGTTCAGAGGAGACTCACTTTCCTGTATGGAAAAAACAGAAAACCATTTAGGAACAGCAATAGACCTGACGGTGTTCGCTGTAAGCATCGCATGCTCCTTTTGGTTACACAACTTAGAAAATCCTATTAATAACTACTTATTGACTGTTTCTGCTTCGGCACAAGAAGTCTTCTCATAAGACTCATTCAGTGTATGAAACCCAGAAAAGAGTGTTATTACCACTGCTCCAAAATGTTTTTATTCTTGCAAGGGAAAATAGGTAATAGCTGGTATTCACAAGTTATTTTAATTTTGTGGGTTTTTTCCTCCCCTTTATTAACTACTAAAGTCCTCATATGAGAGACTGAAATTATCTTAATAACAGAAACTGCTAAAGGATAAACTCCACAGATATCATCATGGCTATAAATTCTGACATTCAATTTAAATAAAGAAACAATAAATTAAACAAAACTAGTCATCATTTTTCCACAAAGAACTTTCATAGTACAACCCTTACCTATAATCTAGAGAAAATACCAATGTTCTTCCAAAGGACTTTTTATAGATAATACATTCTTTTCATACAATCTGCTGTATCACATAATCTGACTTTTCGCTCCTCCTCTTTCCTAGTCACTGCCTTATGCACTGAAGAATGCGATAATCAGCTTTGTTTTGTGAGGTTTTGTATGGCTTAATAAAATGTTGGTCATAAGCAACAGACAGACTGTTTAAATCCAAGCTTTAGGAGTTTTCCTATTCTAATTTTTTGGTTTTGTCACACGAAATGGAAGAATCTGATTTGTCAAAACACAATTTTCTTTATATAGATCTTTCCAGAAAATATCAAAGCACTAATGAAGCCTAAAAATAGAGATGGGAAGAGAAGAGCAAACTACATCATTCATTAGACTATTTTATCATTGTACCTTTTCATCTCCATTTCATTTATTTCCAGAAGTAATTTTTTTATTTACTGATAAAATGAAAAGCATGCAGTCAGCACGTAAAACACTTGCTCATACCAAGTGGTCCCACTGCTGTAGTACATATTCAGGGACAGACACCAACAGACCCATTGCTCTGCAATGACTGGAGGCAGAGCCGCTCCAGCCCGAAGCCGTAAAGCCATATAGCAGTGTGCTACAACTAACACATCCTGCTTCTCAGCAGGCATGAGTAATGCATAGTTATTATTAATACGGCAATTATGGTATTATTGCAATGTGGAAGGTCTCAGAATGAAAATACCTGTTTTTCTGAAGTGCTCTAACCTAAATAAAAGCATTTTCAATCTATGCTTTTCCATGAACTGTCAATTTAATGCTAGTAACAGCAAAAGCTGCTGGGAATTGGAAAAAATGAACAAAAAAAAAACCCCACCATAATTTCTCTAGTCAGATAAACAGGTGTGAGAAAGTCCTTTCAGAAAACAAGATTACATCTTAATGTGTTACAAATGAGTGAACATGTTGGGAAATGGATGCAGTTGTGAACCTCTAAAAAACCATGATCCCATTTCAAAAGGACTGGTAATATACATAAATTTATATGATTACGTAAGTTCTGCCACTGGATTTACACTCCAAAAGAGAATCTAATTCACGATCACTTGTTATGCCGTACTTTAACTCAAGCAAAATGACCAACCATAGTTGTCACCATTCCTGATGACAAAACTAAAATGAAGATTTACTACCTGTCAGGATTTAAACGAACAGTAAAATGTTTACAATAACATCTACCTTCTCTTTGTCCTGAAACCAGTTCTCGTTACAAGCTAAGCACCAGACTGGCTGGCTTTAATTGACACTTTCTGCACGTATTTAAGTATAACAGACTGAATGAGTTAGCTGAACTCATTATTTAACTCACAACCTTTAGCTTCACCAAGAGCAGTCAAATCAGCTTTGAGTGAAAGGCAGTGATCTAACAACTACATGGAAGGACTGGTTCTCAAGTTATTTTGAGATTATTGCATAAGAAAAAAAAAGTTATTTGAATTTTTGATTGAGGGTGGGTTAAGTTTGTACCTTCTACTTTTTTTTTTTCCAAATTGTTTCTGTAATTGTCCTTGAATCTCAGCTCACCACACTGGTGTTTCAGTACTTGTGGTCATTGACATCTGCACTGTATCTTCAAGGGGAACCTGATGGGAGAACTTCCTATGTAAGAAAGCAATTGAAGATGCTGCTGCTTACAAACATACTCATTTTACTTAACTTATTATTTCTCCTTCCATTGATCTACTCAGTCCAGCTGAGAGCTGGAGCCTCTAAGGAGGCTCTAGAAAAAAAGTATTTGTTCCAGATTGGACATGATGAGGGAACTTTGTTACTGTCAAAATTTCTCCAGGAAAGAATCCACTAACAACTATCAGCACTGATTTCAGTACTTGAGAACATCTTCCTATGTCAATAGTGCTAATTTTCCCATCAGCCTTTTGAAATTAAAGACACTGTAGAGACGAAACCAAAGAAGCCCCTGCCCAAAAAGAACTCAGGATCTTGATTAAAATATCAAAAAAGAGTCCCCCAAGAGAAAGGTGAATGAGTGCCTGAAATGGTTGCATTCATTAACAGCCATCAACTCCCACTCTCTTACCCTTTTTCTGAACACTTTTTAAGGGTTCAATTCCAAACCAAATAACATTAAGACAGTTTGCACCAGGCCCTGAATGTGCTCATTGTTACATGCAGCAAAATGGATATTGACCAACCAGAGCAGAGCTTTACCTCCAGCAGAATCTCCTCTTTTGACATATAGGGTTCTGTTTCATTTTTTGTGAGCGTGTGCTCTTTTTCATCAGAGTTGAAGCTTTCCAGGAGTCTCTGGGAATCATCCTTCTGAAATTCCAAGAGAAAACAGATAAAATGAGAGCATGCAGATTCACTGGAAACATCTTTGACAGCAGTCTGGAAACACTCACATTTCCATCCTGAAAATGATTTCAGTATCAGTTGAAAATGGTAACTTTGGAAAAATATGACCAGAAAATGAATGAGAATTTTAGATAATCAGGAAGCATTTATTCAAATTCATTATCTCTAAAAATCTGTCAGCCCAGAAGTAGAATTTTAACCCGAAAATTTATAAGAGGCTGTAAAGGTGTCAAACCGATCCATCAGCTCTCAAAACATCTTACCACAGACTATGAAGTCATAAGTCTTGCTCAGAAAACGTTCATAATCTTCCTTCCCCAAAAGCAGCTCCTAGCATTGGCCTTTCCTTTCCTAACAAACACACACAGCTGCTGGTACAGACACAGACTGTGTGAGGAAAAAACCTCCTGCTGCATATGCTCTTCCCTGTGCACTAGATGGACGAAAAAATACTACTAATGTTGATAAATTCCTCCAAACACAGCACAGCAAGGAATTTTTTTAGTGAAGGAAAATATAGCAGCCACCCTACCTCGATTACTTTTAAAATTATTTTTCAGATTTTCATTCCACTAACTGCTTTTTGATGTAGCTTAATGGTATGGTTGCAGCCACTATGCATATATCTTATGGAAAGATTATTCTTGAATTACTTGGCCACTTGTTATATAAAGTAGTCCATTTTCTCAGAAAATGGAGAACTGCCCAGCCTTTTGAATACATTTTACTCCTTACGACCTGCCTCTATTATCTCTCTGGATCTCAGATGCTCAATAACACAGACCACATTCTCAGGTTAGTCTCCAAGATGTGGTGAATTGCTGATGCTCGTCCTAAAAATCTACTCATGATGAAAGAACAGCTAGAACTCTCTCCCAGCAATCTTGTCACTTATTTGTCCCAAACCAGAAATTCACAAAGTTTTGGTTGAGTGACTGGGACTTGCGGAAGTAGCCCCACTGGATTCACTGCGGTACCTCACACCATAGCCACTCCAAAATAAGAATTTGCTTTTTTCACTTCTCTGGCTGTTCATATCCACCCAGTATTCATTTTCACTCATTTATATCCCCATCACTATAATTTTAAAACTGTCTGAATTTTTCCAGGATTAATTTCTTTCCTGCTAACATTTCTAATCTCATCGGCTTCCTCTCCATTTGTTTTTGCCCTTTGTTATTTTTTCAACTCAACTGCTACTGAGTTCCCCTTTAAGAGCATTAAGAAGATAAAAAAAACTAAGTCTAACTGTAATTACTGTAACTCTTCATCAAGCTAACCTAGCAGAATACCACACTGAGACAAGCTCCAAGCCAAAGTATCACAAGAGTCTCCAGGCAATGTCACACTCTAACAGGATAATGTTATCGATAGAAATGTATTACAGTACATTATATAGTCTGAAGTTACCATGGTAAAGGTTTCTTCTTAAAACTATCTCAGCGAGTCCTATGCCCAGATCATCAAACCAACTGCATGCATCCAAGTTCCACAGATTCAGGCTGAGATCAACTGAATAGTCATTAATTGGAGCTGAGTGACAGATGCCAGTAGCTTACTGTGGTGCCTATGGCTGCTTTGGGACTCCAGGTACTTGCCCTGCTCCCACTGAGAGGATAACTCAGCTGCCGGGGAAGGAACATGGCATACTTAGGGTAATTATCCCTGCTTTTACTTTCGATACAGAAGGCTTTAATATGTGCAGTTCAGTACCTGCCATACACGCCACAGACTTGTGTCATAGCATTGGTGGGGCAGACAACACAAGGAAGGAAGGGGCACAGACAGCCTAAGGTGGCCCTGTTTGCTTTTGGGAAATCAGACCCATAGGATACAATCTGTCCATGCTGTAGTGTACTCTGTATGTGTCAGCAGGCAGCTTATTTTTCTTTCAAAATAAACAACTCTTTTACAGCAGCAGCATTGATTTTAATGGCATTTAAGCACATGAACACATCCAAAGATCTGGGCCAGAGAGAACTGACAGCTTCTATTCCCTATTGACATAAATGACATAAAGGATAAAATCGTAGATGGCTATGTTTGAGTTGGTAGTGGCAGTACAATAAAGGTACCACCTATTAAGGCAGGGAAAATGAGCAATTGAATCAGAGAGGCTTGCACTCACACAGGATGCATTGATCCAGCATCTGAAGTGCCTCCATTACTAGGCTAAAGCACAGCTTTAAACAGAGTTTCAAATCTTGTACTTTAAAACAGTTGGGAGCAAGAGCATTTTTCTCTTATGTCATGTCTAATGACAACACTAACAGATACACACATGCAGCAGAGCTGTTATAGCTGAAAAAAAAGTGTGGTTAAACATCAGGCCAAACCAGACACCTCTGCAGGCTGCCAGAATGCTCTGCAGGGCTCCAAATTTCCCAGCTGCGCCAGTGCCAACCATTGCTACATCCAGTCAATCCAGCACAACTTGGGACTAAATGCCATGGGAGAAAGAAGAAGTCGATAACAATTCTCAGAAAATATATCTGTCTGGCAGTGGTACTGTGGGTCTGTGCTCTGTCTGCAGTCCTGAAGTCCAAACACTTTATGAAACAAAGAGATATGAACCATCCCACTATGGACCTTAAAACAGCAAGGCAGGTATGTTATTAACAAAATCACATGCTTTAGTAAACCCTCTTAGTTTTGCATCAAGCAAGCTGTCAGATGTCGTCTGCCCCCTTTATTTCTCAAGTATATACGTGTGTGCCTTCTATGCAAAGTTATTGCTGTGGGTTAGTATTAATACTCTTGTTTGTGCTGTCTGTAAAATGAACTTTGAAAAAGTTCATAAAGTGCTTTGGAAATTGGATTATTCTTACTAATTTAGAATGGAAATCAGTGTTCACTTTCAACTATCTCACCAAGTTTCTGCAAGCCGGGTGCATCTTCCATTGTCCCAAAAAAACACCACAGCCTTGTACAAGAGGTGACGGTTGCAAGAGGCGAGTGTGGGTCACTTATGTTAAAGGATACAGGCCAGCAGGGCAATATTCCGAACACACAAATACTTAAACAGACCTCTTTTTTGAGCCAGCCCGCTTGTTTCGGTCAATTTTTAAACTAAGAAAGTTGTAAAATCCTTTCCAGCAGAGGCACTTCGGGAATTACGAGGCTACCCAGCTGCCACCAAGCTCGCCCTCAGCTAACCCCGAGCCCGCACAGACTCAGCTCGCCCCGGGACTCAGCCATCCCCACTCTGGGGCTGGCCCAGGGGCTCCGGGCC